AGTCTAACATCAACCGGATCCCCTACCAAACTCATGGCGTACTTGATCTAACTGTGAGGACTCGTAAATTTTTCTATTTTAAACTTCTATTATTAGCTTATTTAAATATTTAATTGCTCGTTGCCCCGAATATTTCATTTCAATCTTTTTAGACCCAATTACATGGAGCTATGGCTTACGTGTATTTTTAAAATGACTTGATACAAAAATTTAATTTTTGAAAGCTCATTTAGTGAGAATAGTGAATGCGCGTTTGGAGACAATAATCGATTCGAGGAGACAATGAGTTTGGAAAATTGGAGACTTATACATTAGCCTTAAAATAGGTATTTTTATGCCTAAGTACTCAAGTATTAGTTAGTTATACTATCGTTATAAAAATTTCTTGGAAGTTTCACCGTAACGCGTGCAAATCGAAAGTTCGCGTATACCGAACTGGAGTGGTTATTCTAGACTATTAAGAGTGAATAATTATAATGTTTAAGAAAGTGTATTGGAGGTTTAGTGCACAAGTGAAGCGAATCCGAGCGGAATCGGGCACGAAACGCGCGCGACCGCGCACTATTCCTAGTTGACTTTGAACCACTTTTGGGCCACACACTTAAGCTTCCTCAAGAAGCTTTCTCATCAGTACACAACACTCTCTCTCTTGCTCTTGCTGGCCGAACAACAAGGAGGAAGAACAAGACCAAATTCCTTCATCATCTTGCTTCATTTCTTCATCGAATCACTTCAAAATTTACACACAACTTGCAAACCACTTGGTGATCAACCTAAGCTAGGAAAGGAGCTTCATCTCACGATTTTTCTTGAGCTTAAAGTGACCGAAAATTTCTGCTCTACCCATCTAAGGAGGTAAATGATGATCGACCTCTTGAATCTTGGTTTATATAAGTTGTTTTGCACTTGTGAGTTATAGATTCATATGGGTAGCTTTATATTGTTGGAAATCTTGTGAGTGGGCTCTATGAAATCCCACAATGGCTTGATGAACTGATTTGATGAGATTTGATGTTATTTATGTTGGATTAGTGCTTAATCTAGTGAAAATAATTTGTGTTGTGAAAGAAAACTCAAAGGAAGTGAGATGAGTAAAAGTGACGATTCTGCCCCTATTTTTCCGTGACCATTAGTGCACTTTTTTGTAGTTCAATTGACTTGATTTTGATGTAAATATGTTGTGTGGGTTGTGTCGAAAGTTTCCACCAAAAATCATCCAAATTGGTTGGCCAAAAGTTGAGATTTCGAAAATGTAGCAAAATTGGAAACATAACCAGAGCCTCTCTGGCAGTGGTTTTGTTTCGGCCATAACTCTTTGTTCCGATGTCGAAATCAAGTGTCATTTATGGCATTAGAAACTAGATATTTCCAATTTACCAATGGTATAAAATGCATACCCTGATTTCACTTGAGTGAGCCGTACCAACCTTGTAAATTTGTCTATTCTGTTTCTCGTATGTACTGGAAGCCCTATTTTGAGCTGCGATTTGATGCTCAAATATGAGCTAGTTGTGGATAAAATTTTAAAATGATTCCTTCTGAGAAATTGTAGCCTTATGAATGTAGTTTTCAACACCACTGACCACGCTCAATTCTGAGTTGAATTGAGTGAGTTGTGACCGGATTTCAGAGCTATCTTCGTGAAAGAAAACCCTAATTCTGGACTGATTTATAGCTAATCTTGATTTGGGACTTGTTATTTCAAAATCCTTGGTGTTAATCACCTACCAAATATATCTTGGATATTTCTTAGACCTTGTTTTCATAAATGAATCATGTTTGAGGAATTTTCATTGGCCAAATGTTTGAGAAAAGAAAAATGAAAGTGCAAGGCAAATTTGCCTTAGCAAATTGTGGAAATTTAATGGTTTTGTTAACAGACTTCCCGAACGAATTTTTGTATGAAATTTAATAGAGGAATAGCCTTTATATGGTAGTGTAATCATACCAAATTTGGTACCATTCCGAGTCTATTTCAATGCCCAAATTCTTGATCAATGAGGAATTTTTAGCCAACTTTGAGCTGCTATATCTTGGCGCTCAAAACTTCGATTCTTGTTCTGTTTGTTTTGTTTTAAACTTTGATTATAACTCTAATTTAGTTTCAAATTTGAGAGGCTAGTTCGCATTTCGTAAATTTTTCCGAATTTCCAAAGTTGCCGAAAACCAACTCCAAAGCTGTCTTGGGAGTTCAAATTAGAAACTTGAAGCCAAAATTTGAATGTCTTTAATTTGGAATCATAGAAAAGTGTCTTCTAGAAACTTTTAGTACTTTGGAAGTAGTTTCCAACGGTACTAAGTTTTCCAATTTTGGACTTACAGAGAATGAGATACGATTTTTCAAAGATTGCTTGTCAAAACTGAAATTTCTGAACTTAAAGGAAATTAAGTTTTTAAAACTCACCTTTTTCCTTCAAGATTGCTTTGACCGTTTTACACTTGATTTCAAGATGAAAATCAGATTTTCCTTATATTATTAAAACCCCACTTCGAGCCTCGATTTGCAAAATATTAAGGCTCATTATAGGATATCTTCTTAGATTGTACATGAGTGCAATCTTCCTTGGTAATTAGGGGTTTTAAGCGATAATGTGCAATAGTTCGTTATTATTTGCTCAGGCGCTCAAGGAGACCTTCAAGAGGAACTCGAAGCCGACGCTTAAACACTTGTTTGAGCACTTACTCACTTGTTTTGAATAGGTGAGTGTTCCATATAGGAGTACGTGATTTGAATAGTTTTATGACATGTTTACTCCATGGTCATTATGTGTTTAACTGTTAAGTGCTACCGATAATTGCTTCTATGAACTTTTCCACCATTTTAAGGCGAGTGTGTACTTTATAGCACTCGACTTACTAAAATGATAAATGTCTTCAAATTAACCGTGAACTATTACCGTTTACTGTTTACCGTTTACCGTTTAACATTAACCGTGATTACTTACTGTTTACTGATTTACTTGATTACCTACTTACTTGATTGCTTGATCATCGTAAATTACATGTTCATATGGAATTACCGCATATTGCTTATGTGTTTAAGTGTTAAGTGTTAATGATAATTCCTCATATGAAATCGGCCACCGTTTTAAGGCGAGTGTGTATTTTATCTCACTCGACCTACTAAAATGATAAATTTTTACCGAACACCAATTTACTTAATTAGGTGTGCATGTTGTAAGCTCTAAGCTGAACTGGGCCCTGCCCTTGGTTACTAACCTACTCGAGTCAGGACTGGGTTCGGTCGGGTAGGTTGGAACCTTGGGACACTGTTTCGGTATACTCGAGTACTACCACTGGAGGGATAAGGTGATGGTCAGACAAACCGAGGGCAAAAGGAGTTATAAGGTGAAGTTGACCGAAATAGTTCCACTGGAACACCGTATCCTTCAGTATGTGTTTATTTCTGTATCATGAAAACTGTCTTATTGTAAATGTGTCAATGTGAAACCTTGAACCATGCTTATGTTATGTTCAAATTACCCGTACAATGATAACTATCTCATGTTAAGGTGCCAAATATGCAACCTTGAACCATACATGTGGTATGCTCAAATTACTTGAGTTATTAGAACTGTTGGAGTGTCTTGGAACCTCACTGGGTTGTGTAGCTCATTCCACGTTTTTGTTTTCCTTAACAGGGTTCGAGACCAAGAGTGCTCGTGAATGGTACTAGATTATTTTCTTTTGAAAACCTTAAATCGTATTATAGCGGATAGTTGTAGTACATATTCTCTTGGATTGTATTAAGCTTGAAAGCTAACCAATTGTAAGCATGCAATATTTTGGAGTACTTTAATTATATATTGAAGTTATTTGAAGTATTTCGAACTTTTGAATTGTGGATTGTAGTGAGTCCTGGCGAGAGCTGGGCAGGTGTTCCGCGGATACCCTTTGGTTCGCCTTAGGGAGAAGTGGGGGCGTCACACTAACACCAGCCAAACTCCTTAGCATTTTGGTCTACCACCGTAGGCACCCGTGAAGGAAATGGGGCAAGCACGGGAGAGGGCTCCCCCACTCCAAACTTGCTCCGTTGCCATCCATAACTACCACTAGAACATCACCTAACTCATCGGCAAATTTTCCAATGGTCTCTTCAATGGAAAGGCCGTGAAAATATGGTTTTAACCGCGATTCACATTGGCATGATAAATATGGTTTTTAAAATTAGCTCTCAAATCGCACATGTGCATGCACTTGTTGGTTAGTTATAGAGCATTCTTAGGGGTAAAAGTATATATTACTAGAGGTTTAGATAATTGGATGAAATTCTTAGTAGTTGGAGGATTAAATATATACAAATGTAAAAGGTTAATTTAAAGGGCTATCAATGGTCACATTGTGTTGTGTTCATGTCATGTCACATTTATACTTGTATTGAATGTGTCAAAACCCATACATGATATATTTAACTTTCGTATCATATCCATCTCATAACCTATTCATTAATGGGTCATGTCATGTTTTAGCCTAATTAATTCATTCAACTTGTTATGAAAAAAGCATAAATGAAACATCCTAAAAGAATAGAAAATGCATTTTTTCTAGAAAATGTTTGATGTTGTCTCATTCTTTTTCACTCTTGATTTCTCATTGAATATTACTTAAATAAGTTTTTAAATGGGTTATCATCCTATTAACAATTAAAAAAGGACTTTGTTTTTGTTTTACAAAGAATGAGAAATTTTAGAGAGAAAAGAATGGTCAATACTATGCAATAAAAAAAATACAAGCAAGAATATATTAAAAAATTAGACAAAAACTATAGTAAGTTTGCAAAAGATCGTTAAAACTTATCAAACTAAAAGTGTATAGTTTATAAAAGATTATTGAAACTTGTTAACAAAAAAAGAGTATTTGTCTATTTGATCATAGTAGGAGAAAGAACAAATGAGCAATAACTGATATAAAGGGTAAGTATTCAAGAAGGACGATGAAGGGGAAATGAACAATGAGCTGAAGGTGACGAAGACCAACCTGAAGTGGTCTCCTAACTCAATATGAAGGTTTTGGCATGGAACTACCAAGGTGCTGGGAGATCCTTGACAATACCCAGTCTCAAGGAGGTTTGTAACCTCCACTCACCAAATCTTGTGTTTCTTAGTGAAACAAAAAATTTTAAAAAAAACATTATGAAAAAATCAGAAAAAAAGTCAACTATGATAATCTTTTTGTGGTAAACCCAATTAGTAAGGCAGGTGGTATAGCTATCTTTTGGAATAAGGAACTGAAGATTGATAAAATTTTGTTTACGGACTTCACCATTGAGGTTAAGATTACTGCTAACCAGGAATCAGATAGTTGGTGGTGTATTTGTCATATGTAAACTTAGAGGCATCAATTAGGCAAAAACAGTGGGAAATCTTAACTGCGAGAAGAAGATTGGGGAACAACAATATTGTTTTCATTGGTGACTTCAATGACATAATTTCCAATGATGAAAAGTAGGGTGGAAGAGCAAGAGAAAGCTGGTCCTTTCGAAAGTTCAAAATTTTCATTTCGAGAAATGAGCTCATTGACCTTGGTTTTGAAGGATTGCCTTGGAATTGGAGTAATAATTGGAGCATTGGTGAAGAGATTAAGGAAAGATTAGATAGAACTCCAACAAGTGTGGAGTGGAATAGAAACAACAGCGGAGCAAATTTGATGCACATACAGACTGTAGCTTCTGACCATGCTATGCTTCTAATGGATACCAGACCGGAAAGGAATAAATGGAAAAGGCGATTCCAATTTGATGCAAGATGGTTGCAGTACCCTGAAGTGGAAAAGGTGGTAGATTCTGCATGGGATAAACAACAAATGGCATCTAGGGGTACATAATGACAAGGAAAATTAAAGAATGCAGATTAGCTCTCAAGGTATGGAACAAAGGACTTCAGTCTAACAGTAAAATCAATATTCAGGCCATTGAAGACTAGATTGAAGAGACATGTGCTAGCAATGCACAGAACAAGCAGTCTTTGATCATGGACATCAAAAAGGAAACTTTATGCTGAATATGCAAAGGAAGAAGCATTTTGGGCCCAAAAATCCAGATGCAAGTGGTTAAAAGAAGAGGACAAAAAATGACTTATTTTCATATGAGAGTTGCTAGTAGAAAAAGAAGAAATAGGATATCCAGATTGGAAAAGAAACAAGGTGGCTAGTGTGAAACAGATGAGGAGATAGGTGAAGAATTGGCTAAGTACTATCAGAACCTGTTTAACAGCTCGTGGCCTATAGATTTTGAAGAGATCCTTCAAGGCATTCCTAGAACAATTACAGAACAGATGAACCTTCATCTCACTAGATAAGTAACAAAAAAGGAAATTAAGCAGGCTTTATTTTCCATGCACCCCAATAAAGCTCCGGGACCATATGGTATGTCTCCCTTATTTTTTCAAAGATTCTGGGGTATCATTAAAAAGGACCTAGTGGAGACTATATTAAGAGTTTCTTTCACCTGGGCCATATGTGCAAAGCTCTTAATGAAACTCTAGTCACACTAATTCCTAAGATTGATATGCCATTGAATCTTTTTCAGGCCAATTAGCTTATGCAATGTTGTTTATAAAATTATTTCAAAAGTACTTGTAAATAGAATGAAACCTGTTTTGAATGATTGCATAAATAGTGGTCAAGCAGCTTTTGTGCCAGGGAGACAAATTTTGGACAATGTTATGATAGCTCATGAATATATCCACTGGATTAATCATAAGAGGGGTAATAAAGAGGGATATATGGTTCTCAAACTAGACATGTCTAAAGCCTATGATAGAGCAGAATGGAAGTTTTTGCTTTGTGTCCTTAGTAAAATGGGTTTCTGCCCCTTCTGGATCAAGTGGATTTAAGGGTACTAATCTTCCTGTTCCTACTCATTTAATATCAATGGGAACAAATCAGGCTATGTCTATCCTTGTAGAGGAATTAGACAGGATGACCCACTGTCCCCTTATCTATTTCTTTTTAGTGCTCAAGGTCTTGCAAATCTCTTGACATCTGGTTGCAGAGATAATATGTTAACAAGAATTAAAATCTCCAGGAATGGCCTTGCTATCTCTCACTTGTTTTTGGCTGATGACTCACTAATTTTCTGCAAAGCTAGTGCTAAGAAAGCAAGTGAGATCACCAGAATTCTCCAAATCTATGAACAAGCTTCAGGGCAAAAGATCAACATTGAGAAGTCACCCGTTCTCTTTAGTAGAAACACCTCCCAAGCAAACAAACAAGGTGTCTCCAAATACTGGGCAATATCTAGTATGTTACTCAGGAAAAATATCTTGGTTTCCCTATGGTTGGAGGACGATCCAAAAATAGCACCTTCAGATTCCTTAAAGACAAAATGACTGGTAAGCTGCACTGGTGAAAAGGCAAGATGTTGCGTAATGTGGGCAAAGAAGTCCTTCTCAAATCCATGGCATTAGCTCTACCAGCATACACCATGTCGGTTTTTAAGCTTTTCAGATGAATTATGTAAAGAATTAAGTGGCATAATGGCCAAGTTTTGGTGGGGAAATGATCAAGGTGTGAAGAAAATGCACTAGAAAAAATGATGGGACCTGACAGATATCAAAGGTAAAGGAGGACTTGGTATTTGAGACATAAAGTGCTTTAATGAAGCCTTGCTTGCCAAACAAGTGTGGAGACTTCTAACAAAACCTGATTTGCTGGTCAGTAAGGTAATGAAAGGAAAATATTTTCCAAACTCCTCTATCTTGCAGGCCAAAGTAAATTTAGGCCCCTCTTGGATCTGGTAGAGCATTCATAGTGCAATCCTTTTGCTAGAAGACGATCTTAGGAGACAGATAGGGAATGATAGATCAACACTAATTTGGAAGGATAGATGGCTTTCCAATGGCATATCTGGATTGATTAAATCAGCTAGATCTCAGAACTGCAGCATAGAAAGAGTTTGTGATTTGATCGTTAACAAGAGGTGGAATATCAATCTTATTCAATCCACTTTCTTTCGAGAGGAGGTTGAACAAATACTAATGATCCCTCTCAGTATTTAGGAAAGGCAGGATAAGTTCGTTTAAAAGCATAGAACTAATTACACCGCCAAGTCAGGATACGTTCAAGCTAGATTAAAAATGAGCAAGAAATCCAAAAAAGTGCAACCAAATAATGGATCCAGCACAAGGAAGGATGATCCTACACTATTGCATCAAGTCTGGGATCTAAACATAAAACATAAACTGAAGCATTTCTTGTGGAAATGCCTTCATAACATCCTGCCCGCCAATGAACAAGTATATAGAAGAACTGGGAAAGGGGATAAATGGTGCAAATGTTGTGGTGAAGAGGTAGAAACACTAGAGCACCTGTTTTTCTTCTGTAAAGCTAGAGAGGAGGCTTGAAAGACATTCTCTATTAAATGGGATAGTATCCAAGAGAGCTCATGGAATTTTTGGAAGTGGTGGGAAGCGCTGCAGGGAGCTAGAAGCAAAACTAATGGTATCAGTCACATAGAAGCCACAATAAACTTTCTATGGCAAGTGTGGAAAGCCAGGAATACCTGGAACTTTAGCAAGGAAAGCATCAATGGTAACTTGATCTCAGACAAAGCTCTAGAGGAATGGCTCGAGTACAAACAACTGTGGAACATGGTGAAAATGGAAAAAGGAAGTGATGATTCAGAAGTACAAATGAAGGCCATGACAAAAGAGCTTCAGAACCAACATACCACCCTAATGTTCACTGATGCAGCAATGGACAAAAAAAAGAAGCAGAGGGGGAATTGGCATTGCAACAAGGACCATAATGGAAAACTTGTCAAAACTTGGGCAATCCCTAGTGGAATGAAGAATGATGCTACCATACTAGAAGCTGAAGCAATTAGAACAGCCATGCTTAAAGCACTTGAAGAAGGGTGGACATCTTTGCTCATTCATTCATACTGCAAAGTTTTAGTGGATAGAATTAATCACAGATGTGTCAATTTATCTCAGTTAGATGTTTTGGTAGATGATGTTATATGTCTTAGTCGATCCTTTTGTCGATGCTCCTTCACATTTATTGGAAGGGAATACAATCGCACTAGTCATGGTTTGGCAAAATTTGCCATTAACCTAATAGATGAAACAGGGTGGGAGCTAGACTTCCTGCGTGGCTTAGGAATGAAGCCCACAAAAATGCCCAGGCTTTGTGCCAGTAGATTGTATATGCTAGGAATATTGTAACCTTTCTCATATATATCAAATGATGACCTTTTGACAAAAAAAAAGGTGAGTATTCATCAATGTGGAAGTAAAAATGATGACCAAAATATTGAAATCACAGAGATTGTATATACGGGTTTATGGAGATTAGATCTAATTAAGGACTATGCATATATACGTGAAGGATATAATTTCATTAGTTTGATTCTCAAACTATAAAATTAGGATGAAATTACCAATTTTTTGGTATAAATTTAGGAAGGAGTCGAAGTAGTAATTTTTTTGAAAAAATTTCTGCTTATGTTTTGGAAAGAAATCAATGAAATAAAAGGCATAAAATAATCTTTCATTCAGGTCATAAAACATATGTCACCTTACAAGTTTCTATTAAATATAGAGTAAATCTTATATACATTGATAGTGTTTACACTATTACGATTGAATGCACGATATATTTGTAAAATTTGGGTTTCAAATTTAAATTCGAATTTTGTTTCATACATCCAACGATGAAAGTGTGTACACTGTCAGTGTATGAAAGATTAATCTTTAAAAGAGTAAATCTTATATACATTAACAGTGTTTACTCTATTACGATTGGATGAACACTACATTTTGTAAAATTTGAATTTTAAATTTAAATTTAAATTATGTGTCAACAGTGTATATAACTTTTAACCATTTAATAACGGGTTGATCACATCCAATTCATACTCATCGGTTACCCGTATGATCCACTTGCGTATGGTGTTCGTGTCGACCCATTTACAATACAAACTTCGCTCCGGATTGCATTTCGTTCAGGTTTTTTCCGGGTTTTTGCATTCACGTCAGTGTTCAGGTTTTGGTCGGAAATTCCCCCCCTTTGCCCATAAAATAAACTCATTAAGCGGCAAATATGACTGACACCTAATTGCAGGGATTATATTGAGATTAACGCCCTTCTTCTCTCTAACCGGTACCGTCTCCAATTCATCCTTTCGCAGCCAGACGCCGAAGGAGAGGAATTTGTTACACGCTACCAACGAGTTCAATCAGCAGAAGAAGAGCAACAGCGGGATGGTTTCTGAGAAGTGAGCTATTATTAACCATGGGAATCTCATCAAGAATCTCTGGAAAAAGGAGTTTTAGGTGCTTCTCCTCTAAACCCTGCTTTCTTCTCTCATCCAACTTCCTTAATGCCGCTCTCCATTCACGTTCACATTCACTTCCTCAATGCAATTCCTCAACTGGGTCACTCTCAGATTGCTGCAAAATTCGTGATTTTAGCAGGCTTCCTCAGAAAAAACAGGTCTTTTTGCAGCCTAATACTGATAATGACTCACATGGGTTTCCTCCAAGTTGCTATTTTGGTTCATTCCCACTACTGAAAAAGCATTTCTTTTCCAATTCCGCATCTGGGTTTTCTTCAATTTCTCAATCTTTGTTGAAGGGATCATTGACTGGGTTGTCAAAATGTAGCATTAGTACTAGCAGCAGCAGTATTTATTTCTGTTCAGTTGTTCATCGATCATCTTTTACTGTGCAAAAACCATTTCATGATGGAAGAAGGTTTTGTGGTCGATTATTTTCTGTTGTTCCATCTTCTGGTAGTAGTGGCATGAATTTGTTGGTGTCTGAAGCAGAGAATAGCAGAGATTGTGAGAATATTGAAAATTTGAAAGACAAGGTGTGGAAATG